GTTAAACCTTAAAAAGAACAGGCATGCATTCAGTACTAAGCAGCTCCTAGGGAATGGGTCCCGTTCCGATTATCACTGCTCAATAAGAAACGCTCCTGTGCACGTTTCGCACCTCTTCGAAAAATCCTGCGAAAGCCTAACACGTGACAGGTGCCTCGAAAACCGATCCTTATATGTGAAACATTGAGTAAAAACCTTCTACTCAAATTTTCACACGTTTTTTTTTAAAGATTACGTACAAAATACTTTTGTTTTGCACTAATGAACCTCATCCTGTATGTAGTCCCTTCTAAAACACCAATTTTCAAGATATTATCCATTTTCCGTGACTTTCAACGACTACATTACCTCAGCAACGAAGCAATCGGTTAGATCTACATGTTACTCCAAAAGGTTGAGCAAAACACAAATCACCGATGGAAACGTGGTCTAGTAAAAATGAAGTGCTACACCTATTCAGCTAATAGCAAGGCACTTTCAATTAAAAGTTTATTATGTTGTGGCAACAAATGACTGAGAACATAACATAACAAGCAAGCAAATGTTTGATCCAACAGTAAGAGAGGACCTGAACCAAACCTTAGACAATAACAAACGGCAGGCAGATCGAGTTTTAAGATCATTAGTCCATCAATTTTCCAACAATCTTCGACCATCAAGACTTTAAACTTTAGTGTCCAGGTGGGAATTAAAACCATCAGTATGAGAACAATATCTGCTATAAATGTAGCAGGCTACAACTGCATGAGAACACTTATGCCATTCCTTCGTCATCCTCGTCCTGTGGTTTCGGTCCGCGAGGTTTTGGGTCCACCCGTGGCTTGTTTCGCAATTTATTATCTACGAATAAAGTACTATTACGAGTAGGACAATTGTATAACAATGGAACTGAGAACTCCTGTCCTAGGAGAAACACAGATACCAAAGAGATGTTGAGAACTCACCTGGTCAACTTTAAGAATCGTAGCAGCAGCATCATCGTACGAGTGGCAAGTTTTATAGCGGAGTTTCTTACCAGCAATAGGTCAAGATACATGTTCTCTCGGCATCATGAATTTGGTCTAGAAAGAAAAATAAGAGTAGAAATAAGTAGTAGATGCATGTTCAAAAAAATATACCATGCTTCCAAATATCAATGCCGGCATTTTGTTGTCCAGATTCATGAGCTCGTATAACTTCGTAAGGATTATCCGTAGCTTTAAAACAAATTCAGATGGTAAACTGATGGCGGGCACTAATACGATCCGGAAATTAATTCAACAAACATTACATTGATGCCTGCGTTCTCAGCCAGACATTTTGGCAGGGTTTCAAGGGCATAAGCGAACTTCTTGATAGCATACTGTTCCAGCCCTGAACACTTTTCACCTGGTAAGGATCTCAGAATTTGACGAGCTATTGCGATTTCGACAGCGCAGGCGCAGGAATGAAGCTGATAACACCATATCGTTAGTATGAAGAAAAAATTGATAGAAATAGCAGCCACACAGCATGAATCAGGCAAATTTCTTTACTCAAGACTCACCCAAACCTACTCAGGCAATTACAGAAAAAAAAAGAGTTAATGTGCACGAAGCTTCGCACACTAACAAAATCTAATCTAACACAACATTTGCTAACAATTGCTATCAAAGAATTACATCAAAAAAAGTTGCAAATTGAACAATCAATGTTCCCAAGTTTATCATGGGTTGATGGAGTTTGGAACATAAGCTCAGACCCAATTCAGCATTCCGATGGTTACTGCACTATCTTCAAGAATACCTCACCATCAGCAGTCACGACTCTTCAAAAGAACATATGAGCGGTCACAGTGAGACTAGCAAGCAGTTCGAAATAGAGCCTCCCTTGGAGTTCCACCAACAACAGAGCAAAACCTACCTCTGGCATAGCTCATCTCTCGGTTATTTTTAAAAGGGTTCGGGGGAACCATTCGACATCGCGCACTTGTTAGCTTGGAAATACAGCTATCGTCCCGAATAACAATATCATTAAGTTGCTCCCTTGTGCAGACGCAGTAGCAAAAACGGTATGCACTTATTCCTGAGGTTTCCCCTTAGTTATATGCGTTTCGTGTGATACCTCTATCTACCGAGAATAACGCACGATATGCTAATTGCTATGATGTTGGAAGATGACTTTCTGACGGCGTTATCCACGCAGTCGGGCATACAGAACGATTTTCACCTTTGAACGATTTCCATGGTAGAAAATTCGTTGAGGACTTGCCATTTGAATTTTCAGAGAAAGTTTCCTTTTCGAAATCCAATGAAGAGCTCAAGCAATAGCAAAGAGCGAACGTCAGACTATTACAGTAGTACTTCTTCCTTCGCTTTCTAATCCATCCCATTGTTACTGTCAACCCCAGGATTAGAAATCTCACATGCAGACAGAAGACGTGCTGGTCCACAAAAAGTGTGCTAGCACCACTTTGTAACATGACCGTAGTTACGTCAAAGCGACACCTTTTCATGTCAACGAGCGCGCATGAATTGTTTTTCAGACGAGAAGAAGAGCAAGTAGTACTAGGGCTCATCACTACACGAACACTATAACGTGACATGTACAGCCTTTCTCACAATAAGAATGGAATGAGAAGGTTATCGCAGTTTCCACTCCACCCATTTCCCCAGTTCTGGTACGCAATCATCCATAACGGGCTCATAACAATTCATCTTCAAGAATAAAAAAACCTACCAGCAGTGCCTCTCACGGGGACAACAAGCTTTGCGAATTGAATATTGAAAATATGGAGGAAAATGAAATTAAAAAATGAGCGTAAAAAACGGGAAAAGGTATCTTCAACAAAATAGGTACAGAACAGACCCTGCCGTCCTTGGTAAGGCATTTATATGTATTCACTGCATCATCTACAGCTCGCTCAACATCATCTATGCGAGATTGGCTTGACCCACGAATTATGATAGTAGCTACATTTCCTCTTTCTCCCTGCAAACAATTCATAATGGTCACTGTTACTGAGAATGACCAGATGTTCTTAAATACCTTGTTGTCGAAAACCACCACGTTTTCATCACCGATTTCCTTCACATGAACTGAGTCACAAGTTCCCAGCAAATTAACAGCTGGAGCACACTGCAACAGAACAAATAATTCAAGCCTAAATAATACAACAACACAGATGCTATCAGTAGCATCAATTATTGCTAAAATTACTTCCAGTCAAGAGTAGAATCTAAAGCACTCACAATTCTCGCTTGCGCTTGCGCACCCACAGTTCGACACAGGCGACGTAGGTCAAACTTTGATGTGAGCCTGAAAAAATCAATCTCAGAAGGATCGGCCCAACAATGTTAATGAGAAGGCAAATAGAGACGAATGATGATACAACAAGAAGCCGCAACTGCAACTGACCTAACTGCCATGATTTTATATTTGTTGAGGAAATGCAAGTACAAATCACCAAACTTGCCAGCAGCAACAACAACCTGAAGGTAGTGATTATTGGTCATGCCTCACTAATGCTGCTATAAGACCAAATTACCTGAACTCCGCTGTCCGCAAGAGCCTTCACTTGGTTTTCCACTTCACTTTCTTCTCCCTTTGCAAAGCCCATAAGTTCCTCTGCATTCTCTATCAGGACAGTACCCTAAACCAGTATGAAGTAGCGAAACATAAAAAATCAGCTAACTATGAAGCAATACCTTAGTTTCAGTCTGTGTCAAATCAAAAGGACATGTGAAGACAGCAACTCGAGCATTTTGCGCACTTTTCACTTCGCCTTCGGCGCCGCGTTTAAAAACCATTCCATTCATAACCTCGAAAGGGAAACATTCTCTGCTTAGTTTTACTACAAATTACAAAATGAAAAGTATGGAAAATGCTAAACCGAGGTGGAAGGATACTGGAATATAACTAGGAGAGTGAGAAAATTTAAAAAGACCACTTACCATTGATGTACTCACGCCTGATCCCAAAATTTTACAGATTCTGATATTATCGACGTTGAAATTGAAACTGTTTTTTGGCACTGTCAGCACTGAAAAAATAAGGACTACTTTAGGTAATGAATCGTTCTGCACCTCAACAGCATTTCATCACTAAAGACGAAGACGCAAAGAGGCACCCATACTCAACAAAAATATCTCGAATATAATAAGTGAATTAAAATGGTAACCAAAAATCAATCGGATTTCGATTTCGGTTTTAATAGATTCTCATATTGTGCTACAACTATAAATAACTGCCAAAACGTCCATCCACTTTCCTACGCGAAAGACTTACCACAAGCTTTCGACACTAAATCAGCAATGACCTCTTCATTATCGTATTGCTTTGAGGTTATTGCAGAGCGTAGAAGCTTCTTAACCTGTAAACGTTGGAAGCTAATAGTGATGCCGCACTGGATAAATAAATGGTGAATAAAACAGCAAACATACCGTTGAAATGTCTCTTAGATCTGTTGCCTCCTTGATCACCAGGTTTGGAAGAATATCAAGCGCCTTTCTCGGCTGCCTGTTCGTATCCAGAAGCAACTTCTTGCGGTGTCAGACCCTATTGAAAAGAGTTTGCAGAAAAAGAAAAGAAAAGCCCAATTAGAAAAGAAACGTGATATACCATGCTGATTAGCTGAGCGGCATGTTCAAGAAGAGCAGCGGCCAGCACTACCACAGTGTTTGTGTTGTCTCCCACCTGAACAGTACAAGTAGAGAAGAAATTAGAGACTGCACTGAAAAAAAACCGAAATGATTGGAAACTCGGGAACGCAACAATACTGATATCCAGTCAGGATTTCCTTTTGCAGACTCCCGAAAAATTTTCGAGCTCACGTTTCCCCTTTAAACTCGACCCAAACCTTCCAAACAATTTTACGAGGAAGGATCGAGCAAACGCTAGGAGATGCGCTATGAATGTTATCGAGCATCAAAGTTCCCCTATAAACAAAGTGAAAAGTCAACCCATGGGACTTCGGGTCTGTTGCTTGCTGTCTCGCATTTTTTTCGGTAATACAGCAGAAGACTTTGGAGCAGTTTTTGAATGCTTGCCTACGAATGCCTTCAGGATAGCATTGCGCGCACTCCGGAACAAAAATTAGCCAATTTTTTCATGACTATCCAAGGCGCCAAGAGTGCACGCGCAAGAGGTGCCAGCAATGGCAATATCTGTGATCGGACGGGTCCCTAAGGCAGGATGCGACTTTTTCACTCATCACACGTTCATTTCAGCTGCCAGAGCCCCAGATGCACTTCTGGGGCCGGGTGCAGCAAGCCCCGGCGAGGGATGGGTCCCCAAAACTCTGCGTCTCTACTCCGGTCGATGACGTATTCCTCGTTATCATGGGTAGGGGATGTGTTCAAAGATATCGAGTTTTGGGGCCCCATGCCCTCACCGGGGCTTGCTGCTCCCGGCAACTGGTCATAGGTGGACCATGGGTTTCCGCACGGAAGTTTCGAAGCGGAGAAATCGCTTTCTGCCCTAGCTACCCACACAATTCGTGATCAGCGGTTAAAATACCGTTTGGGTCAGTTTCGAGCCAGGATTGACATTCGACCAATCCTTTCATAAAAGTGATACCAAAAGCTGTAACCCTATCGTAAGCCTTTCTTCTCAAAAAACCTTATCTTGGCATGCAGTGAACATTTTAGTCGTTCTTCTGCGACAAAATATTGGGAGCTGCTTCACATGCTCCTCGTATCAAAATGACCTTGATCAGGATAAAAGAAAAAGTTTCACGCGCTATCGCGAGAGAAGGGGGCGTTATGGTGGCAATGCATTTGAAATCGCGTAAACTATATTCTTTTTGTGGAAGCAGGACCAAGCCTTAGGCGGGGGAGGAGAGACTCCAGGGTGCGTCAGCAATTTTCCTTCTCTCAGAAATTCCTGCCCTACTAGGCTTAGTCCTTGAGGATGCCCGTATACGACAATAGCGCCATTTTCACAAAAAAAAAACAGATTCCCCGAATGGATTGGTGGAGAAAAATTGTTGTGAGGAAATACTATAAAATTTCAGAGTTCTAGAGGAGTTCTCTTTTCACAGACAAAATATAGTACAATGAATCCTGGGCCAGAATAATACCGTCAGGAGCATAGCTGACCTGCTTCTCCTGCATTTGACTTGCCATAATTATAATTTTAGCAGCCGGATGTTGTATATCGAGCTCTTTCAGAATTGTAGCGGCATCATTTGTTACGAACAATTTCTCGATGTGATTGATAACCATTTTGTTCATGCCTGAATGTGGACAATTCATGGACAAGCAACAAACGACTACTCAGTAGAGAGCGATACAATCAAGCAAAGGAGACATACCATTTGGTCCATAAGCTGATCTCAGCTGTGACGCCAATTCCACACAAGCCTCAATATTTCGCAGCACAGCCTCATCAGTACCTTTGAAGTGCTGTAATGAAAGGTCTTTCGAGAGGTGGAAAGTAAGCATCAATATCAAAACTAACCTGTGCCCCTTCTTTCATAAAACGATTGTAGCCGGACTTCGGAATGTTCATCGCCATTTTTCCAGAGAACCCAAGTTAACCGCGCTCAACCCTTAAGTGCAATGTCTCTTAGATCGTAACGGTTGAAAAGAAACAAGCACCCAATACAGTGTAACAGGGAAAGCCTGAGCAGGCTGCAGCAACGACAGCCGCCGAGAAAATTCGGAAGAGTTTACATGGTCCCGCAACGCAAACCCTGATTATGCTGAGTTTTGCACATTATTCATTGCTGGAGCAACATAGCATAACAATTTTAATGATGTAGGTTTTTAAAGTTTGCTTCGAGAACAATTGGTCAGGGTTAAGTGTTTTTGCAAATAACCATTGTTGAATGTTTGATGTTCCGTCTTTGCACTATCTTCAAAGCCTATGTGTTCCGCTGTAGTTGTTTGTAGCGCTTTACATTCTCTGAGTTTTATTTTTTTTGATCACTGCAACAGGCGAAAGAATAGGTCGGCGGGCGCAATGTGCTCGGGGGGGACCAGTCGCCGCGCGCGGCCGTGCGGCAACAGGAAATTCGTGAGCCAGGGGGAGTGTAGCCAATTCAGGGGGGTTGGGGGTGAGGGCAGTCACATGACATGCGTGAGAAGCTGGAATGTTCCGTGAGAAGCCGGAATGTTCGAATTTCCTGTTGCCGCACGGCCGCGCGCGGCGACTGGCCCCCCTCGAGTCACATAGCGCCGGTCCGAGGTGTTAACGTAGTTGGAGGGGCCACGCGTGGCGCGGCGCTCCGTTCGTCTGCGCCTCCAGAGGCCCATTCATAGTTAGTGTCCGATGGCTCCCAGACAATGCCTAACCATTTGGGCGCGGCCGCGGCGAACGCGGCCGAGTCGATAGTGCCCGCGAACCGTTGAAAACGCACTCGAGGTGCCCGCGAACTGTGCTGTGCTGAGTTCGCGGGCACCTATCAACTCACTCAGCGGTCTACGGACAACTTGAACTCAGTCCTTTAAACTGCCTTCATTTGATGCTCTCGCCTGCGCTCTCTCGCTTAAACAGCGGCTTATGATTACTGAGATCGAACATATGCAAACTTTGCCACATTGTATATGGCTCACCCACTACGGATTCCTCTTCCCTCCAAGGCTTAGTCCTAGAGCTGTCACCTTCTTTCTTGGGTTTTGGAGCCGAGCCAGGCGCCGTTCTCTAATCGTCTGTGCTCTGGCCTTTCGCGGCAGAGAACATAGGGGAGAGTTCAAGTAGTCACGTAATCCTCGCGTTCGCCGCGGCCGCGCCCAAATGGTTAGGTATTGTCTGGGAGCCGTGTCCGATCATAGCGATCGTAACGATCGTTGATCATGGAAGCGTATCGTCGTCAGACGCGCCTAAGGGTTGAACGGCCGATACGTATCTAACCCTAATCGATCGTCACGTTAGTTACGACTGGACGACCAACTATGAATGCGCCCCAAGGCTTAGGCTAGTGTCAGAGTCCGCGATCCGTCTCAGGTTCAGTGATTTGCGTGATTTGCGCGATTTTCGCGATTTGCGCGAAACCTGCGACGGATCGCAAAAATTGCAAGTGCCCCATTCATTTGAAACACTGAATATGAAACAAGTGGAATCATGAGCAGTCGTCATTCAGCCATCACTATCAAGCAGAAGTGGCGGCAGGATTGGAGAACACCTTGCAGTATTGATCGGGCACTTGTGATTTCCGTGACCCGTCGCGTGAATCGCGCAAATCGCGAAAATCAGCGAAACCTGCGGCGCATCGCCGACTCTGACACCAGCGTTAGGCTAATGTCAGAGTACGCGATCTGTCGCTGGTTTCGATGATTTGAGCGATTTTTACGCTTCGCTATCAGCGAAACCTGCGACGATCGCGGACTCTGGCACCACCTTAGTGTGCGCTGCCGCTTTATTTCGAAACTGCCCTATAAAATAGCCCCTCTGACAAGGCCTTAGGCTGGTGTCAGAGTCCGCGATCCGTCGCAGGTTTCGCTGATTTTCGCGATTTGCGCGATTCACGCGACGGGTCACGGAAATCACAAGTGCCCGATCAATACTGCAAGGTGTTCTCCAATCCTGCCGCCACTTCTGCTTGATAGTGATGGCTGAATGACGACTGCTCATGATTCCACTTGTTTCATATTCAGTGTTTCAAATGTTCACACACAATTTTTGCGATCCGTCGCGTGAATCGCGCAAATCGCGAAAATCAGCGAAACCTGCGACGGATCGCGGACTCTGACACCAGCCTTCGAGAAGCAGACAAGCGGAGCGCTGCGCCATCCCTCACAACTATGTTAGCTCCTCGGACTGTGGAAAGGTTTGCTTCAAATCGATTTCGTCGCGTTCTTTTAAGTGCTGCAAGTTTTTGTTTCCAGAATAATAGGAAGTACTGCAATCTTTCAGGATGAGTAGTATCCATAATGCGGCGTGGGTCGCTGGAACCGAAAACCTTTTCCGCATCTCGCAGTGCAAAGTTTTTTCGCTGCAAGATCTCCAGCTTCACTCATGTTTCCGTCAAGAATATCTCCCCACTCTTGGGGACACATCACCGACCTTGGGGCTGGGAAATACCCTGACGCGGGTGAGAGGATGGCTCTTCTACCTCGCGGACATTCCTCCAACCTTGGGGACGTATCTCTCACCTCAGAAAAGGATTCCGTCACAACTCATTTTTCAATGGGTCGGTCTACGGACAATTTGAACTAGGTCCTTCAAACTGCCCCAAATTGATGCTCTTATCTGCGCGCTCTGCCTAAGGCTGATGTCAGAGTCTGCGATCCGTCGCAGGTTTCGCTGATTTTCGCGAAACCTGCGATGGATCACAGGAGTACACAAGGCACAACACACACAAGGCGCCCGCGAGCTGTGCTGGAACATTTTCAAATTTCCCGCACACTTCGCGGGCGCTACCGGCTCGGCCGTGCTCGCCGCGGCGCCCATAAAACGTGAAAAAAGTAGGGGGGGGGGGTGATGGAGGCACTTTCGATTCCTCTGATACGTCGCAGGCTTCGCGCGGATCACAAAAATTGCAAGTGCCCCATTTGAACATTTGAAACACTGAATATGAAACAAGTGGAATCATGAGCAGTCGTCATTCAGCCATCACCATCAAGCAGAAGTGGCGGCGGGATTGGAGAACACCTTGCAGTATTGATCGGGCACTTGTGATTTCCGTGACCCGTCGCGTGAATCGCGCAAATCGCGAAAATCAGCGAAACCTGCGACGGATCGCGGACTCTGACATCAGCCTAACAGCAGCTCATCACTACTGTGACTCACACAGTCGAATTTTTGCCGCACTGTTATTGGCACACCCATCCCTCAACCACTCAAGGCTTAGTCCTAGATTCCACATTCCTCTTTGGGATGTGGCTGAGCTAAGTGCTGTTTCCCAATCGTCTATGTTCTAGCAATTCGCGCCAGAGTCCCCCGTCGACGAATACTTGAACTCGGTTCTTTGAACCGCCTCAATTCGATGTTTCCGTCTGCGCTCTTTCGCCTAAACAGCGGTTCTTGACTATTGTGACCTTACGCATTCAAACTTCTGTAATTGGCTCACCCACCCCAGAGCCCCCTTCTTATTGTTAGTGTTCGGTTTCTCACCTTCCTCGGGATTTGGAGCTGAGCTAGTGGAGGGTCTTCTCTTGTGGAACGCGCTTTAATCAGCCACTCTTCCGCGGAATTTTCTCGTAAAAGATCCAGCACTATTACTGGTGAACTGCTACGAAATTTCGCCGTAAAAGGAGAATGTTACACAATAAAATTGGGATGTTTCAGATGGTCAGAGTTTTGAGCAACGGAGAGGTAGTGAATGATGACGATGTCCGAAACAACCCCCGACCTACAGCTCGCGAACCAAATCGTTTTGCTCAACATTCACGACAAACTGAGGTACTTTTGAATGCTGTTCTATTCTTTCTGTGTCGAATTTATATTGGCATTTGCATTCTGGTGTAAATAAGCCAGTGTGCAACTATTCAAAATCAGTCAGTTCTAAGAATTTCTCATTCAAGCACATTTTTAATATACCTAATTTGTTGCACCGTCTACCAAGGCTCATAGCAGTACCCCCAGAAGAAGTCATGTCGAAGGATCTACACAGGGCGGGATAGAGTAGCCACGAGTAGCACAGATGTGCCGTTGTCGCGGCTCGAAAGTGCGCGACAATGGCGCTAGGGTCTTACAAAGTCAGTATTTGGTGACTAATCTTAACATTTAGGACGAGTTACATAGCTCACACCACACCCAACTTGGTCGCAGAACCATCATCTGGCCCCGCCCCTAACTTTTTAATGGGGAATATTGGTTCCGGGCTTCAACGACAGTTTCTTTCCTTTTTCTTATTTTTAATCAATTCGGCATCACCAACTTTATTATTATCCACTGTGACCCCACAAGTTCGGTCTTGGGTGTTGCTTTGAGCCTTTGGCCAGTGCAGATTTTTCGCGTGGTGGTTTAGCTATAGCTATACGTTTTCCCTTGACTTTATTCTTCATACTTTTGTCGCGCCATCAGCTCTGATCGTCTAATTATGCTCATTGGATTGTATTGGAGTCGAAGCACCGCTCTCTTCACTGATGTATTTCAGGGCGAGACAGCTGGAGGTCTGTCGTCGATGTGGAACTCCGCCAATGACCGCCTACGTCAGTACGGGCTCAACTCTTTCTCTGTGGCGGGATATCGTGTAGATCCACTGCACCTCGTCGTGGCTATCCTTGGTTTTGTTCTCTCCGGACCAATGATGCTCGCTGTTGTAATAGCAGCAATAGTCATATCGCAGTCATCAGGAGACAATACTCCCCTCTCTTCTCGCCAGACTGGCGGAGAAAGCAGTACCAGTCAGTATCACGCTCAAGGTGATGCGCGTCAGCCTAACAGAAACAAGGGGCCTTTTTCTGGAACAGGTCAAAGACTAGGCGGTTAGTATCAAGGCGAACTTCCACTACTTCTTACATTGCGTTTTAGACCTATAATATTATTGTTTTTGAATGAGTTTAAAAGGCTCAAACAATTCTCTTCGCTCATTCCTATATCATAGTCCCCATCCCTTGTCGAGGTTGACGGTAATTTTCATAATTATAGGGTCGGTTGTGTTTTCTGACCGTCGACTACTGTATACACACTTCTTTTTGTCTGTGATTGTTTGATTGTGCACTTTTTTTGGTGTTCAGTTTAATGCTATTTTGTTCTGAATTTTTATTAAAATAATGGTTTATTTCTTTCACACAATTATAATGTTGAGACATTCCGTATCTGTATTGCTACGAAAAATTCCTGTCTGAGCAGGTTCGATTATCGCTTCCGATTTGAGGGTGAAAATGTTATCTCGTGGAAGCAGTGTTGCACTGGGCAAAGTGCTGCCATGTTGCTCGACATCCGCTGCGCTGAAAATCAGGCGCGGTCATGAAGTGAGTGCTACGAATTCCATGTTTGTTCCACTATTATCATCCATTTCACTAGTAGAACCCCACCTTTTCTTTGCTGTAGCTCCGCGATCGTGTTGCTGCTTAAACGGCTGCTTCTAAGCTTTAGTAAGTGCACAACAGAAGTAGAAGAATACAACTCTTGGACATCGGCAGCACGATGCCTGGGGTAACCCATTATTATCAAACATCATCAAGACCTGAGTGAAGCGGAGAGTTCGAAGTTTACCGTAGTTGCGTTTACTAGAAGTCGCGGAAGACGTTTCAGGCTGCTGACGACAATAGACGTATTCCGATGTTTTTTAGTCTTAATTATTATCATTATTATTATTGTAGAGCCTTGAAAACAATATCCCTTCAAACCTGATCAGGCCAGCTCAGATTTGATCACATCGCCTCCGGTTCCCCAGAAGCAGCCCTAATTCAATGCATAGGCTTGGACCACTGTATAAGTCCGTAGTATGCAGTATAGTAGTAGAGTAGGATAGTAGGATAGTAGTAGATTAGGATAGTGCGCTGACAAGATTAGATATGTATTGATCTATTCGCTTGAAGTCGCCCAATCTACTACTCTCCAGCGATTTCAATCGATACGTATCCAATCTTGTCAGCGCAATCTCCTACTCTATCCTAATATCCTGTCGCCTACTATCCTAATCTCCCTAGTTGCGAACTATGAACAACTCTCATCGTTGGAAAGACTCGAAGTTTTGCTCGCAGGTCAGGGTCGAAGTGGTATGCTTCTTCAGGTATACGATTTCATTCTATATTATCTGGAGCTCGGTGATTATGTTTTTGATGTACATGATCTTTGGCTCCTGCTCTCTGCTAGATGCCTCTTACAAGCTGCTTCTTTGACCAGTGCTGCCTCGGCCATGGCCTAGCGTAACACGACTGATGCTCTAGAGTCTGTCATTAATATGAGATCGGACTTTGATTTTCCTTATTTTCCGCGAATTGAGTAGCCTTTTTGCGAATTGCGATTTGACGAACCTACAGTTGTACCCGTCTCCGGCACTCTCCTTGCTTGGTCATCCCATGGTGTAACCGCATAGCCTAGTAGGACCGGACCTTGGGCCGAGTAGACTGCAGAATTCGAACCAGTTCCATTCTTAGTTCCATTCAACCTTTTCGAAAGGTTTGCTGATAAAGTCTTACTGCGACAATGTCAATATTTCAGTTATTCATTTTATTATTTCGGTTTTCACGGCACAGAAGAGCCATGTAGCATTCGAAATGTCCTGATTTTGAGAGTAAGTCCCAGTAGTCTTAAAGGAAGGGTCGCGCTGGCTGAGAGCAGGGTCAACCGTCACGTTCGAACATTTTCGGGATTTTTGCGACCCCCTAGCTCTCGAGGGGGTCCAGTTGCGACCCCCTGTTTTTGTTAATAAGAGTGCTAGACATGAATCCGTTGCGCCAGAAAGCGTCTGCGCGTCGTCGCGTCGGCCTTGGAGCGCGGCAGGTATCACCCGGGCGCTGGAAGAACGGGACGCGGCGAAGAAAAAATTTTAGAGGGGAATAACTTTCTTGGGACGTATTTTTTTGACTTGTTGAGGTAGATTTTGATTGTGCCTGAGGTGCGCTTTCAGAAAACTACAAGGATTGCCTAACTCTCCGGAAAGTACTTCTGTTAGAAGTGGAAAACCCAAAATTCTAAGAAGGCGCACCTTCAACTTTGAAGGCCCATAAAATCTTTCGTATGCGACATTTTGGAAATCTGTAAAAAGTTTCAGAAACTTCAAATATTTCTCTAACAAAACAGTATAAAAAGTTTAGTGATTGTCCCCTTTTTCAAAAAATTGTCCCGTTCGAACATTTTTCGTGCAAAAGCGAGTTTTTGGGCTTTCAGCGACCATAACTCACTTCATTTTCACTTGATGCACTTTTTTCATGGGGTGAAAGTACAGGATTTGCTCTTTCTAACAAGCACCAAACCGTTTTTCAAAATCCATTTTCCGAGAAAATCACACGTTCGAACATTTTGTTCCCATAGGTTTTTGAGCAGCACATGCGAGTTTTTGAGCTTTCAGCAATAATAACTTCCTTCAAAGAACTTGTTGGGGAGGGCGACATTTTTGAAGACTACGAGATTTCTGCTTTCTTATGTGTTTTACCGTTGTCTGGAAGAATCGTCCTCAGAAAATCAGGTCCCGAAGAACTTTAATTTCAGCCCCGAGAAGTCAAACCTTTCATAGGGATGCATTCAACTGTTCTTTATTCCTCAAGGAAAACACCGTAATTTGCCTAACTGTCTCTCTGTGCATAATTAATCGAATCTAATGCGGTCTGCACAAACAATTCTTGCCCTCGGATACGCCACGCACGCGCCTGTGGCTGGCAGTCCTCGAAATTGCGACCCCCTTCCGACCAAAATGCGACCCCTTCGTTCGAACAGTTCGAACGGACGGTTGACCCTGGCTGAGAGGTGAGCACGGCTCCACACGTCATCGGTGGAAGAGCATATATTGGTGGGAAGGCGCGGAGGACGCCACTTCGGTGGAGAGTCTTGCGACCTCCGCTAAGGCGCATCAAAGTTTCTATTAGCTGTATTTCTTGTCTTAAGCAACTATCCTACTTACTATAAAGCGCTTCGTCTGTCGTCTGTCGTCTGTCTGTATGTCTGTCACGAAATTCCCTAGCTCCTCGGGATCCGCCTGGAGGGACCGGGTCAAGTGTGGGATGGGTGGGCAAGGTCTCACGAAGTACAAAACACACATCAGCTAAGCGGAGCCCCGCCCACAGTGGGCGTGGCGTGCGTCGAAATGAACTGTACTGACGACCAAGATTTCAATTTCAGTGACAAAACACCTCGAAACTGGGCCAAAAAGTGGGTAAAGGTGTGCATTGGTAAGTCACATCGAATTAGGGAGACCCACCCCCGGTGGGCGGGGCGTTCTCCAAAAAAGCAGTGCTTTATGAAAAATTTCATAACTCGGTTGGGAGAAAGCCTACAGAGCAGAAAACAAATTGGTGTAGGGAGCAATGTCTAAGGTGTTTCCAGCATACATGACGTGGGCGGAGGCCCGCCCACAATGGGCGGAGCGCGCTCTGAAGTGTACAGCATTTTCTACAAGTCCTCATAATTCGGGCCGGGGAAGTCTTAAAGAGCCGGAAAAAGGTGGATAGAGGTGGGTGGAGGAGTGGAGGCCAGCTGTCATCGGTGGGCGGGGCTTGACCAAAGTGGGCGGAGTTTGCGACGAAAATTCATAACTCGGCTCCAAGAAGTCCCGGAGGCCCGGAAAAAGGTGGATGGAGGTGCCTCCAAGTGGAATCCAGCCCTCAATGGGTGGGCGTTATTTGGAGCCCGGCTTGTTGCCGGTGGGTGGGGCTTGGCCAAAGTGGGCGGGGAGTTTTGCGAAAAACTCATTAATCTCGGCTCCAAGAAGTCCCGGAGGCAGGGAAAAAGGTGGATGGAGGTGGGTGGAGGAGTGGAGCCCAGCTATAACCGGTGAGCGGGGTTTGACCAAAGTGGGCGGAGTTTGCGACGAAAATTCAGAACTCGGCTCCAAGAAGTCCTAGAGATAGGGAAAACGGGGTTAGAGGTTGGCGAGGGAAAAGAGATCAGCTGCTTCAGATCCCAGAGACCGGTGAAAAAGGTAGAGGTCGGCGAAAGGAAGGGGGCCAAATGCTATTGGTGGGCGGAGCACGCACCGAAGTAGGCGGAGTTTGCCACGAGATTTATTGTCCGGAAGCAGTCCGGAGACCGGGAAAAGGATAATGGTTGACGAAGAAAAAGAGGTTGATCGATGATGGAGCGGTATATTGGCCGGAATTCGATTCTGTGGCTGTATCAAGGCAAATTGAAAATTGTCGTCGCGCCATCAAATTTCGCGCAGCATCTCAGTGGTTTGCGCGCGCAAGGCGTGCGGCGCCAACTGGTATTTGAATATCGTGCAGCGTTTAAATTGGAACGATGCGTGTTGTAAATATGCGCAGTTTCATCGCATTCCAGTTGAAGTAGAGATTCCTATGCCGTAATTTGTTAGCATATTATGGCGCACCCTGTATACTGATCAATCACAAAAGTCTAGGAGTTGGATGGTAGGAACGAGTTGTGCAGTCAAGACATAGGCGTAGTGGATGTGGCAATTGCGGGTCTTGCGCCTCGTTGGCATTGCGGCTGTGAAGGACTTCACGATATTGCACACACCCGAAAGGGCTCCATTTACGCGAAGTTATTGCACCGCAAAAGAGTAGGGTTCGCTAGAACAGAACACGACTTTTCCGCTTTTTGCAGCGCGAGATTTTTTTGAGCGGGAACTGTGGTGGCGCACAGGCGGATGGGTGGCGCCTGTTTAAATAGACGTATCTATGTCTTATAATAATCAATAAAGTGCTTCAGTGAACAAGTTTTCATCTTTATGAAAAAAAGTAATGTACCCGGTTGCGGGCAGAACAGACCAGAGAAAGCGCTAAGCCCTGCCAATAAGGAGCGGGGGTAACTGCGGATTCTGGCCTATGTCAGAACCCTTCTGACCCTTGCCGGCCACAAAAATAAAATTCATGTACAATAACTAATTTTTCATTCTCGATCCCGACATCTTGTACGCTGCCCATTGTGGTTGTCATCATTGTCGTCGCCTTTTGAGCCGCCGCCGCCGCCTTGTCTTTGGTTGGCGCACAGTAGTACATTGTGTGGTCGCCCACACGCCGCACTTGCACGCCGCGTAGTCGTGGTCGTTGTGTTTGGCTCCAGACAGAGGCCCAATCCCGCAACTTGCACGCTCTTTGCCACAGCATCCGGATACTTGCACCGCGACGTTGTATGGCCGTGACGGTTATCCGGGAGAGGACAGAAGAGGCTTGAGAGCGAGTAGCGGAGCTTTCCAGTAGCTCTTTAACTGCTCCTCTAAAATTTTGAGGACGTGCTGCTACGTATTGGAAGATAGTAAGCTAGCGCGAGCAGGGGAACGTGCATACGCCGTGCTTCTGCCTAGACTCTTGTACTTACTAAGAGTTTATTGTCATCAAAGAACAATAGAAATATTGATCATGAGCAACGAATAAACCGAGACAGAACCAAGAATATCCGAACAAAGCAATAGAAAGGCACAAGAAAACCAATAAAGCACGACTGTATCACGAGCTGGTCTAGGTAGGCTAGGGCATCGCCCCGACGATGGAGAAGCTGGACACGAGCGTCCTCGGTCCGCAGATACGGTTGACTCCTCGATCGCTCCTTCGGTCGCATCGCCACGCCCTGAAAGCATAGGATGAGTCACACCAAAACATAATGACGCGCGCTTGCATGGCGCGGCTTACACCTCCCCCCTTTACCAAAAGTCCGTCCCGGACTTTAAGAGAATGAACAAGGGAAAAGGAACGGGCTCACCGAGGATGTTGTTCA